ATCCAGGTTGACCACCTAATTGAGTCTCAGATGCAATTACCAGGAACAATTTGAACATCACGGTTTTGAAGACACTGGAGGGTTCGCCTCATTATATCATCAATGACGAAGTTGAACAAGAATGTACAGAGTGGACATCCTTGTCGGAAACCACTTTTGTAGGGAAGCTTTTGGAGAGCTCATCATACACCCACACGCCCAGAAGATGGGGATCGGATTATGTTCACAGACTTCTGGGACATACCCCGTTTAGTAAGTATAGTTAACAGCAATCACCGGTCGACAGTATCGAAAGCACCCTTGAAATCAAGGTATACCTAGATTGTAGTTCGTTTGTACATGTAGCGGTCTCTTTATCCAAGACGGATCAAAATAGGCTGGGCAGGCACCGGCTAGGAAACCCGCCGCCATTCTAAAACACAGCAAGTGGAAGTTCATCAGGACCAACCGCACAACGACGTCTAAGTAGAGGTATACACTTGGACACTTCTGAGATTGAAGAAGGGTCCGTATTCACAGTCCACCTTTCCGTCGAAGGTCAGGATTCCGGATCGGAGGTAACAGGTGGTCAAATGCATTGCTGTTCGAAGTACCGTTCCCATCGGTTCAAACGTTCTGCTTTGCTAGATCTCAGGAAGCCATTGGAACCGCTTACGAACGTTTCCAGCATTTCTGGCACATTCCAATTCCTCGGCCTTTCGGGACTTAGAGCCTTCCAGCTGTAGCGATCTTTCGGGGCCTAACTGCTAAGCTACCCGAAGTAAGCACGAGGGCTGGGATACTGCCAGGTTGCCCAAGCCTAGGGAAAGTCGAGACGCAGAGGTCAAATTCGAAACACGGACCCTCCGATCAGTAAATTCACGCTCTAACCACTTGAGCCACCTCGCCCCCATCTCTCACCTAAAGCAGTCTATTTCCATTGTCCGTGTGTCTCGTGTCCAATGCAAGACGACTACCCAATCGGGCCTCAGCACCGATTAGTATATCTACCTACGTGTTCATGTCGCCAGAAACTGCAACGATATCTGACCTTTAAGCCCGTTATAAAGAAGCATCCAGAACGTCATAGAAACTGTTTGGCAGATTCGTAGCTAGTCAGTTGGGGCGTAAGCAAACAGAACAAAAAGGGCGCGATGGACCTCAGTTTCTCGAGACATGCTCACAGACGTTGTCAAACGAACCCCTTTGGGGCGACTGTCAACGGGTATCCAATCAGGGAGAGATGTTTCCGCTCGGTCTCTCAACATAATACCCATGCCAGCATATCCAGCTGCAGCGGCTTCTGCATCACCAGAGGTGCGCAGCCGGAAGCTGGCAGAGATAAAGGGGGTAATCAGTCAAATTACAGTACTTGCGTTCTGTATCCTCGTTTCAGATAGACAGCACACATCACTGCAGAGGGCATCCAGCGCACGAGCAAGAGCCACCTGTTGTGCGAACATTAAGGAAGCCAATTTGAAATCAGATTTCAAAGTGTCTAGGGTTGTCGCTGAAGTTGGCTGAGTCTGATGCACGGTGAACAATGCGGTCAGTCATCATCATCATTGTCAGCTGTAATAACCGCGTACTCGTCGTACAGTGGTTGTAGCTGCCGCAGTTTCGTTCACCGATGATTTGGGGGGG